TATATAATGTATAATCTTACCCTGAAAAATGGACAGCCTAATATGCACAAAAATTCACTATCTGAGATGTAAATATAAAAACACACAGCAGAGCTCAACACAGTGCCATGGGTTATCTTGGGCTATGTAGCAAGACTCTATCTCCAAACAGAGACGAAAAAGAGAAGAAAGTCTAAAAACAAAACAAAAGCAAAAAACTAAAACAAACAAAATGATACTTTTAAGTAGCAAAACATAAAGAAGTATACTCACTATACTTGTTTGTTTTAATCTCTCTCTCTCTCTCTCTCTCTCTCTCTCTCTCTCTCTCTCCCTCCTTCCCTCCCTCCCTCCCTCCCTCCCCCCCTCTCTGTGTGTGTGTGTGTGTGCCTATAAGTCTGTGTCTCTGTGTGTGCCTTTGCCTGTGTCTGTGTATTTCTTAGTGGTTTTGGACAGGGAACTAATAATGGCACAGTAGCATTCCTGTAGAGTCATAAGCTATCAAATGTCCTGTTCTGATGCTACATCAGGTTTCATCAAAGTCAACATCCTTTAAAGAGGAATCAGTCAGAAGCAAAGCTGCTCACTGAGTGGCACTTCTTTTTCTAATCATCACCCCCTGTTCCATCAGCTCCCTCTAGACAGCAGTGGCCGTCACCTCTCCTTTTCCTTGCTCGGTGTTGATTGTCTGTAATGACATCACTTGCCTGGGCTGAATCTGTTTCTGCAAACTGCTCCTGAATAAACCAGTGGTTAGGACTGTCCCTCTGAGTTGTACTGGAGTAAAAGAGTAATGCTAACTGATGCCAGTAGATAGCCAATTAAAATACCATCCAGTGATACAAAGTTCAGGACCCTACAGCTGCCCTTACTCCTACACTGTCAGCAGGTCTGGGGCGCACTAAGGCCATTTTCAAATTCAATAATTCAGTCAGACTCACATAACGTAGAAAAATTATGACCCTCATGGATAAGGGTGTTACACTGAGGATGCTCAGGCTAAAGTCACCCAAGGGAAGAGTTACACAGGACAGGATCCAGAAGTGACAGCCACAAACACCCAGTGGAGCTGTGCAGACAATACCTGTCCTTGAAGCAGCAATAAATCAATACTCAGGGAAACTCACCCACAGATTAGTGTCCAAGGTTTTATTAGGGTCCTTTCATATAGACACAGTTGACCCTTGTGGGCTGATATTAGTCTCCAGTCCCCCCTAGAAGCTACATTGATATTTGGTGTTCCGAATCACACAGACGACATAGCATTCCTAAAGCCACCAGGTGAGCAAGGGTACTTATCTCAAGCAAGAGACTCCAGGAGCTTAGAGGTTGCCTCCTAGCACCTCAGGACAACACCATACTGTTGGCCAAGGTTCATCATTCACTGCACATGCGACAAACCTTTTGAAAATATAACCTAGACCCTTCTACATGCTTGGGTTCTAATAGGTTTCCATTCACTAAAATAAAACCCCACTCCCTGTCCTAATGTACCAGGCAGAGTGTGATCTGGCTCCCTGCCCCTCCCCATCGTGTGTTGCAAACACACAGGTCTTCCCTGGTGTGTTTTAGGGCCCCAGCTTCTTCCTGGCCTTTGTGCTAGCCTAGCTATTCTGCCTGAAATCTCCCAGATCCACGTGTAATTGGATCGCTGCTGTCATTCAGGTCTCAGCTTAATAAATGTCATTTCCTCAGAGGCCCCTTGCCTGTCTGCTCAAATTAAATGAGTCCCCAAGTCACTCAGTATCTTATCACCATGTTATGAGCTCATCGCGGCCGTGAGATTTGCCTGTTGTTTTCTAGCTCATTTGTCTCTTAATTTTGCTCTTAGAAGCTTCCTCCATGCAAGCACTGTAGAACTGGAAATGGTGACTTCTCTGTCATGCCCCTCCCTCACCTAGGAAACGCTAGACCTGTGTGTGGGCTCACTAGTCACTGAACGGATGAACAAACAGCAGAGTGAATAAGTCAGACTTGCAAACACCAGTTTCATCAAAATTTAAGTGAAAGTCTTGAAGGCAAGACATTTAGAGACTTTAACATAGTAACATGGATTACAAGGCTTGTATGTATCTATATATCATGTATTCAAGTTCCTGGGAAGGGTTTTGCATTTCCCCATATAACCAACATCTTGAAAAAAAGCACCGCCACTTGCTCGTTACAGCAAATCTCCATTTTAATAGGTTCAGTGTACAACAGTGGCTGTGGTGAGCTGGTGAAAGATGGTTTTTCAGAATGGAAGCCTTTGATGCCCCTCAGGTGACATCCCTGGAAGTGCCCATTCATGCCCCACCCATCTAAGTTCTGTTGGTCAGATTCTATGTGGCAGAATCAAATATTGACAGCTGCTTCTAGCTTTTGCTAATGCTATGTTTGAAGTAGCTTTATAACTTTTTTTCTGAGTGGATGAATCTGTAATGTAGGAAATTGTGAGATATATATAATCTGTCTCACAATGGGTCAAGCTAATGATGTCTTGACTTGACCACGATGTGAAAGCAACGCACACTTGGTAAAACCTTACTTCACATTTTGAATTTTGCATTTTTCCAGGTTAGTGTTACATGGTGTGGAGTTTCATGTCCATACTGGTCAATGGCAACAAACTGCAACTTTTAGTCAGCTGTAAGATGGAGAGGGGAAATGACCCACACTCTACACTCTACTGCATAGCTGATGTGGAGGTGCAGTCAGTTGTATATTTAACATTATTTTCAACCATATGGGGAGGTAGGGGAAGGGTACACTTACATGTGAATACACAGACATGTGGAGATTAGAGGGCGACTTTTGGTGTCATCTTTCAGTAATGATGTCCACTTTGTTTTGTCGAGACAGGATCTCTCATTGGCCTCAAGCTCACCCATTAGTCTGCCTGGCCATCAAGCCCTAGAAATCCACTTGTCTCTGCCTCTAGGATTATAAGTGTACACCACCATGCTTAGCTTTTCTTATTCTGGGTTCTGGGGATTGAACTCGTGTCCATAGGCTTGCAAACATCGATGGAACCATCTCCCCAGCCCTATTTTTCAGCTTTTAATGTTTTCAGTTTACTGGAAGCTTCTCTGGGTAGGGCTCCTCTTGTAAACCAAGGAGCGTCCATATTCTTACATGAAACTAACTACAGCATTAATGACGATCACACATAGGTTTTCAGATACTAAAGGTCCTGATTCTTTTCCTAACAATAAGATCGATTATTATTTACAGTCACCAAAGATCAGTGAAGCAGATTCTTATCCTAGGCCACATCCTGTGCTGACCTTATCCTTCCTTCTGGGAGAAGTGGATACTGTCATATGGTGAGCATGAAACATCAGAGAGGATGCAGATGACTTGTTCTTCTGTTGAAGTTTAAAGTGTGTCAGAGCTGGGCTGGGCTAGCTTTTCCCTTAGTCCTAGAGCACATCCTAACCTATTTTCTCCACTTTAGAGGGACTTGAACTACAAAGCCTTACTGTCCATAGGCTATGTGTCTCTCCCATGTAGTGAAGTGGTGCCCTGTCATCCCATGAGGCTCCCTTTTGACCAGCTATGTTTGCATGCACGCATGCACTCACACTGCAGCAGACCCAACCTGTGTGAAGCACCACACATTAATCTCACCACAGTCTAGGGAATCAATCTTGGGAGCAAGGCCGGCCCAGGTGCTTTGCCTCTGACTAGCTTATGTCAACCTGTCTGTGATGTCCATAGGACACTCTTTTCATTGACTTTACTCCCCAAGCTGACTTCCTCCTGGCCATGCTAGTTAATTCTTGATGACTTGAAAACAGTTAAAGTCAATCATGGGTTGGTTGTTTAGACATGTATTTACCACTTCAGGAACTATTTACACCAAGATTTTACAGCCGGATGCCCTGATGCATGTGTTTTTACATGCTGTGAATAATTTCTACTGAGTGCCATTGAGAAAAAAATATAATTCACATTTTTCCATTAAGAAGAAGGCAGCTCTGGTGTGCAGAGTTGTTGGTTACCTTGTGACTCCAGTCAGGACTATTCTGAGGTTGATTTGGAAGAAATTCGGCTATTTTAGCTCAGAAACTATCCGTTAAACTTGAATAGTTAGAGCACACCTTTCTGCAGCCTGATACAGAATGACTGAGCAGCCAAATGGAAACCAGTAGACAGCTCTTCGGTTGAGACTGTGGGGGACTCCAGGGGAACACCTGGTTTGTGCTCAAAGCCAGCTAGGCTCAGGGGGCTGTGCACCCCCAGGGTTCCTGCTGACAGCACCCCCTTCCTGAAGTTCTTTGCTAAGAACATGAATGGAGCTGGGAATGGGTAAACAGAGGGGAAGATCTGCACCCAACTGTTAAAGTAAGTTTAGGTCCTGCTCTCAAGCTCGTGGTGGCAAAGATAAAATTATGCCTGGCCTTACACAAATCTACAGTGACTGTTCTCATCTTGCATTCCTTGGTGTGTTTTGCTAATCTTGCTACCTGTCCTTGCTGCCCCTTTAACCTCCTGATTCTCCTCCTCACTCTTCTTTTCACTTGGGCTCAGCCACTCCAAGTGAGGATGTCGTACGCCCAGCTGTCCTCAGCCCTAGGAGGTTGGCAAGAGTGTGTGCTGGTGTAGTATCCTTTGAAAAGCACGCAGAGGTAGTTCACCTTCTAGGTTGTCCTATGTACTGTATCTGAGGCCAGACCCTGTGCCATGCCTGAGTGGCTACAGTGACCAGCCAGACAGGCTAAACAATGTTAAATCCTGTCCAAAATACAACCAACTCTTTATTTATTTTGAGAATCATTCAGAAGACAAACTGGTACAAAGTGTCATAGGCAGAAATTAAAGTTCTTTTTTGTGATATGGTCTTTGCACACTGGATTCCTCTTCCTGTTAGTTCTGAGATGCAGGCTGTGAGCTTGTCATTGTTACTTGAGTCTGGTGATAGTTGAGGTACCATGTGTCTGTTTGTAAACAGATTGAGACTAGGGCTGAAAATAAGAGCCTCCTTGTAAAGCCATTAACCATCTTGAATTGCAAAAAGTAATGTTTGTCTTTTATTGCAGACTGCCGCATCCCCCAGATTGAAGATGCTGAGATTCATAACAAGACATACAGACACGGAGAGAAGTTAATCATCAACTGTCATGAGGGATTCAAGATCCGGTACCCTGACCTGTACAACATGTTCTCGTTATGTCGTGACGATGGGACATGGAACAACCTGCCCACCTGTCAAGGTATGAGATGGAGCTGCTGTTGTCCGCTGCCACTGTAAAGGATGTGCAAGCACGATCCTCTAACTGAGCAACAGACATTATGGAAGAGAAATACAAAGTCACCCCACCTAGGTCCTGCCCTGTCTTCCTGTGGCTTCTCTCTTTACTGTGACTCAGCACCATATACCAGATTTCCCAGTATAGAAAGGGCAGACCTTATACTTCAGTGAGTCTAGTATCATACCCTCTCCCCTTAGAAAATCAGAAAAGTAGTTTAAGAATTAGGAGAAGTAGGCTAGTGACGGGGCTCGGCAGGGAAAAGGGCTTGCCTGCAAGTCTGACAACCTGATCAGCTCTAGAATGATCTCAAAGACCTAAGAGAGAACTGACTACCACAGGTACTCTGGCTTTCACATGAGTGCCCATGCCTGTGCACACGCAAGCATACATAGGCACACACAATAATAATAATAATAATAAATTAAAAGGAATTAGGCTTCGTAACTGGGCTTCGAATACAGGGATGAATCGTTGTATACTTAATGGAATATCAGAGTGTGGTACTTCAGTCGTAGTGAGAATACAGTAAGAGTCTTACAGAGAGTATTTTCTCTTCATAATGTCATCTTTCTTATAATGCATGAAAAGCAGGAAAATAATCACATTCAGATGCTTCCAAACTGCACAGCGAATATTTATCCTTTCACACTTTTAAAATTTGCCCCAGCCGACATATATAGAGGGACCTGTTTCTGAACATAAGTCCTTGAGTTCACATTAATTCTGATTTTTATTTTCTGACATGTGACTTGGTCTTAAGGACCAAAAGAAGCCAATGCATAATTCATAATTTGAGGGAGCAGGAAGGCATTCGAATTTGTTCCAAAAGCTCTGGCATGTTCAAGTGGAGATGAATGTTAACTTTGTGCCTGGAAATCACAACTGGCAGGCCCTGATATTGCTTTGTGTGCCCCGTCATTAGAAATAAATTGTTTTCCCACACCAGAGCTTAAGAGTTGTGACCCTGTGAAGGAACAAAGGCTTCAGAGTTGAGAGGACAGAGAAGCCCAGCCATCACAGGGCCTGCCTTGTGGCCAGTGTGGCTAGCCTACCCTAAAAGAGACACGAGTTTTGTTTATCTGCTCAGAGACTGCCTACAAACAAGCAGCTGGCACCTGGGTTGGGCTCCTCATGCAAATAAACATCAAAGCCACAGATTTATTCCAGGACCAGAGTCATGGGTGAGGAAAATCACCTCAGACCTCAGCTGCTCCCTGCAGCCCCATTTTGTCAATATCCTTTCTCTGTGACCTCTCACCCTCTCTAGTTCCCCCTTGAATTGCTTAAATCCAGTGAGTTCCCTTAGGAATCCTGTTTCCCTGTGGCCTCTTGGGATGTTATTTTAAAGAGCTCAGATATGTGCCTGGCTGTTGCTCTGTCTGGCCCAGTCTGGATTGCTCTTCCATTCTCAAATTCTGCTCAAGAGCAGGCCAGGAATAAGAGAACTGGCTGGCTAGTCTCAGTCTCTCTCTCTCTCTCTCTCTCTCTCTCTCTCTCTCTCTCTCTCTCTTTTTCTTCTTCTTTTTTTTTTTTTTACTGGGATTTGAACCTAGGGCTTCACACATGCTAGTCACCCTGCCTCTGAGCTATATGTTCCTATTCCTCCTTGTAACTCTTAATTTTGAAAGGTCTCAGTAAACTGCCCAAGCTATCCCTGAGCTTATTCCATAACCCAGATGGGCTTTGAACTTATGATCCCCTTGCCTCTGTTTCCCAAGTAGCTGGAATTATATATAGGCCTGCCCCACCAAGCCTGCACCTGGTTACTCTTGAGAGACGTAACGCTCCAAACAATGCCACATAGCCTAGCTCCATCCTCACTCCTCCTCAGGATCCCCCAGTGCCACGCAGTAGGTGCCCTGCCTGTGCTGTGGTCCCAGCCTATCCTGTGTGTCATTGCTTCTGGGGGCAGAGTCCTGCCAGCTCCTCCTGCACCAGCTTTTTTCTGACCACCCAGCTGGCACAACACAAGAAAAGGATCTTCTGCGTTGCTGCGGACAGCCTGGCACCTCTCTGAGCCTCCTGGTGGATTTAATTGGCTCCCAGAGTGACATTTCATTCTAGAACTTTTATTTGCACCTATAGATCCAGGGGCTAAAGCTCCAGTAGGCATCTCTCTATTATCTAGAAGTGCAAATGGAAATCCCATTGAACTGAAGCCTGAGTCGAAGCCTGCTTCCCACTGTTATATTTAGGATGAGCTGTCTCCAGCCAAGAGTGAGCATATCTTTCCCTCTCAGCACTGATTAGCTGCACGAATTATAGCTCCTGCTATCTCCTCAGAAGGAATGGAGGGCAGACTGCACAGAGGCCTTGTGGGGGAGGGAGGTGGTACTACAGGTTTTGGAGAGTGTCTGCATGTCCTGCTGACTGTAGGACAGAATCATTTGTGATTTGGGAAAGACCATTCCACACCAGTAGCTTAGTGTGGGAGCTCTGCTAAGGGAGGGGTGCTGGGCCAACACGGTGTGGTGTGAGCCACCTGAACTGTGCAAGCATCCTGTACCTTCCCATTGTTCCTGTTAATGGACTCGTCTGCTGTTGCTCAATTACTGATCATATTTCTTCCTGATTTCCATCCCCACTCTGACGCCCTCCCATCTCGCCTTTGCCGTGAATATCACCAGTTTTTAGCTCAGAAAAGTTAAAAGCTGTCTAGGGGAGGGAACTCAGGAGATAGCTCAGTTGGTAAAGTGCCTGCATGAGGCACTGAGGATCTGAGTTGGATCTCCAATACCACAGAAGCAGGGCATGGCGTGTGGCAAGTGTCTGCATCACTGCTGGGGACACAGAGACAGGGCATGGCTGGGCCAGCTGGCTGAGCCGAGACAGAGATGCACTGCCTGGTACAGTGAAAGATTCTGTCTCATGACAAGAGAGAAAAAGATGCCTGGCACTGATTGGTAGTCTCCACACATGTAGATACATACCATCACAGATAGACAAACAGACACATATAGACACACACGCACACCGAGGGGTCAGGGATTGAGAAAAACAGTCTAATACCGTGAGACAGGGTAAAAAGACACAGAGTTCTCCCACCTTTGGGGACTATCTAGAAACTTCCTGATTTGTTCTGGGTTGGGGCCTGCTCAGATTGTGAACCTTGGTGCCTAAGGCACAGCAGCGTGGTAGGTACCATACAATCACAAGTGTGAGTGAGAGTGACTGTGTGTGTCCCTAAGGTCTGCACTCCTGGTGCCTCTCTTGTCTCTCCTCACTCTGGTGCACAGGTACTACAGCAACTCACTGAGAGAACACCTCAAGACAGTATGTGACAATGCCAGCTCTGGCAGAGGGCTTGGTCATCTCCCATGATGCATGGAATACAAAGCTTGTGTTTGGCACTAGAAGGGAAAGTGGGTCTTTTCATTATATGCGATTGCTTCACACACATGCCTGCCCCTGGAAAGACAGCACCTCACCCCGTGATGTCCTTATGCACTCCAGTGACATTGCTAGTTCACCTCAATTCCATGGCAGCAGGAGAGGCACACACAGCAGAATTCTGTGCCATTAGGAATAGCACAGGCTTCAAGAGCCAAAGGCAGCCAGGGATTCAGAAGGAGGGATCCAGGGTCTCGTTTCCCACTTCTTCTCTGATAGCACCCAGCATGCTCCTTTTGGAGCAGAGACCCACTGCAAGGCTGTGCTCCTCAGAGGGCCTGCCTCCCACCTGGACCTTAGCAATGCATATCCTAGGGCTCCACTCAGAGACCTGCTGAGACAGAAGCACGGCATGGGGCCTGGGGGGGCTGTGTCCATTAAGCCCTCTGAGGAATTCTCAAGTTTGAAAACCAGCACACTTTAAGACTCTCAATCTATTTCACTTCAAACCTGATTCTCAGAAATTCAGTAGTACCAGCATAGCAAGATTCTGTCCCATGACTAAGTTTGGAACATAAGCTACCCAAGTCACAGATCCCTAGTCACTGGAGTATCTGTCCCCCCTAGGGTGCCTTAGTGGTTCTCAGCCTGGATGTCATCTTAAATGACATGAGGAGCTTCATAAACACACAGTGGCATCAGGCTCTCCACCTGGGCATGGACCCTGGGCACCGCTGGGTTTTAAAAGCCCCTCAAGTGACGCTAATGATCCATTTGGGACAGGTTCACCTGGCTAGTGACGCACTAATCCATACCCTACTTACCTCCCTCCTAACCCTTTATCTGAGCCCCATGGTACCATTTCAGATATGCCAGCAAACATCTATGTATATGCAGCCCAAGTCTGAACGTCCTTTTGTTACTAAGGAGCAATCCTAAAGAGTTTCTCTGTGCCATTGGCCATACATGTATGCAAAGACAGCCCAGTGAAACCTTCCCACTTTGCTTTCACAGGCTGCCTGAGACCTCTAGCCTCTTCCAATGGCTATGTGAACATCTCCGAGTTCCAGACTTCCTTCCCCGTGGGAACTGTGATCGATTATCGCTGCTTCCCTGGATTTAAACTCGAGGGTTCCAAGTACCTCGAGTGCTTACACAACCTTATCTGGTCGTCCAGCCCACCCCAGTGCCTTGCTCTGGAAGGTAACACATATAAGCCTTTTGGATTGGCAGGAGGTATCTGATGGTGGCCAGATGGTTGCAGGAGGTGTCTGATGGTTGCTTGCCTAAGCCCAGATCACCCACCTGACCTGGAGCTATACGTAGTTAAGCACATTCCCTACCCCCCACCCACCTGTCACCATTCTTAGATTTTAGGGGAAGAAGGCGAATAAAAGAAAAAACTGGAAGAATCAAATGTCAGACTGCAGAGTATTGCAAAGTTAAATGAAATGCCTTCAGAAATTAATTTTCCCTGCACTGGATAACAGATGGCATGGTGACACCATCCATCTCACCCCTCGTTTTATTGCGGTATCAATGTTTCTTTCATTTTTCCGTGCGTTTACAGTGAAGCCGTAAATGTTTGGCTGTAAGACAGTCTTGGAAGCCTGAAAGCAAGAGCTGTCTCTTCCCTGTCTTTATGAAATCTGAATGGTTATAGAGTGAGTGTTGATAAAGACCACTAATTAGGGGTCTGTGTTGGCTAGGTCTGGGAGTGGAATGGCAGGGCTCCCATTTCCAGAATCAGGGCAGCTTCCTGGGGTTCCTAATATCCTCCATCACTGAAGTCTAACTCCCGGCATTAGCCCGGGTATGTGTCTGGTCTTGAAGTTCCACCTGATCCGCTCCTTCCTTAATATCCGAGGAAATGGGTGGAAATGGCGGGGGAGAAAACTTCCATTCCAGAGCCCTCTCCAAACCTGTCCAAAACCCAACCCCTCAAAACCAATAACATGCCAAAGCTCCTCCAAGTTTGCAGCAGCATAGACTGGCTGCTTCCCTGTTGCTTCCCACTAGAGAAGCAGGTTTGGAAGTGTACTGTGCAGAAGGTTCTCTGAGCAGTGGGAGAAGGCTGTTATTTCTAAAGGAAGGGCCAACATGGAGAGAGGTTGGCCAGAACCATGGAGCCTCCTTGGACAAGAGTTGAAGAGGTAGAGGGGATGGATGGCTGCCCCGTGCCATTCTGACCACTCCAGCACTGCCATAGTACCGAGCTCGGGTGTAGGCCTGGGGGATTAAAGGAAGACACAAACTCCGGTCATCCATTATGAGAGAATGCCAAAGCTTTTACTGAACAGGTCTAATATATACACCAAGCCAGGGAAGGAAAAACACAAACTCAAGGAAAAACAGGAACTCAACTCGGGGGCAATGGGATGTCAAGTGTAAATTCCCTTCCTGGGGCACCATGCCTTAGTCGGGATGTTTTGATCTTAGAAAAACTGCAGAATGTTAATTAGTAGACAGCAGCACACAGAAAGTCTCAGCCAGGGCATGGCCGCCCTTCGGGGTCCTACACAATTCATTCTGCTACAGTCCCCACATATCCCTGTCTCCCACAGGCCCAGATTTTATAGGGGACAAAGGCCAAGATAGAAGGTTATAGTTGAGACCCCCTGGTACATGTGAAAGGCCTATAACAAAGAAGTTTTCAATAGGAGAATTCAGTAGGAACGTGTGTGTGTGTGTGTGTGTGTATGTATGTGTGTGTGTGTTCTTCATCTGAAATGCTAATAGAATTGATTGTTTTTTACCTCTGTTTGCTAAAGCTGGCTAGTCTAGTTCCAGAGACAAGGTTACCCCCATTTCCAGTGTAGTCACCTCTCTATTATCTGCGTACTGTGTGTCAGCCATGGTGAGTGTGGACTGTCACTAAAAGACCCACTTCCTAGTTCCTGGAGGATTTTTCATATTCACATAACCAAAAATCAAGGGTAGTTTGAAGATATCATTGTTATGATTTTGTCAAATTGAAATGCCTGTTTTAGGATCTTTTCAAATTTGTCTTAACTGCACTTCAAGTAGTCAGAATCTACAAGCTTTACTAGGGGACTTGGAAAGCAGCCTTTTATGGAGCCTAGAGAATGTGACATAGATAGACATAAAACAAAATCTGACTTCAGGAGGCAGTGATGGGAGGTTATAAACAGGGAGCTGTGAGCAGCTTCTGGCTGGAAACGGGCCCCATTGCTGAACACAAGCGCTGGCTGTTGCCAGACTCAGCCCTGGCCACAGAAGGATCCAAGAACTGCCCATGCCAAGATGTCTACTCGGTGCCTTCCCCACCTCACTCCCACCACTTTAAAAAAAAAAAAAACTTTTGCATCTTTGTTTTTAATGCTCTTCCCTGCAAAACATCCAAGGAAATAGTTTGTGAGCCCATTCAAAGCAACACAAGCCAAAAATATAAAAACAACAAATCTAAACCCATAGGCAGAGTAAGCCAAAGGGATGCTGGTTGCTCAGGACCACAGCTAGTAGTACTTGAGGAGACACTGGAGAAGTAAAGAGGGCAGCATCCTCTGACAATCTACCCTGCACATGCCTCCTACGTTCCCTTCTTCCTGTCTTATGAAGTACACATTTCATATAATTTGATTTTTCTTTATGGTACAGTAAAAACCACCTAACTGTACCATGTATCCCATACTCCTTGGGGCTTTTAAATCCATTAGTGTTCTGACCCCATCGGGGAGCGGGGTGGACAAGAATTCTGTAAAATGCTTTCTCCAACCTCTTAAACTCTTACAACCTGCCAGCCTTCTACACTCATTGGGCCTGTCACTCATACATGACACAGTATCTGTCCCCAAACCTTGCCTGATCAGTAGCCTGCTCAGTGCTTACAACACTGGATTCAGTCCCCAATACTACATAGGCCAGGCATGGTGGCACACACTCATATCCCAGCACCCAGAAGGTTGAAACAAGATGAACAGGTGTTCAAGGCCCTTCTTAGCTATCTGATGAGTCAAGGCCAACCTTGGCTACAGAAAACTGCATCTCAAAAATAATAAAATAGGCCTGGAGAGCTTACTCAGTGGTTAAGATCATGTACTATTCTTGAAGAGAAACTAAGTTTGTTTCCACACTTATGTCAAGTGGCTCACAAACACCTGTCACTCCAGGTGCAGGGGCATCCTTCACCCCTGGCCTCCACCTACCTGCTCTTATGTGCACATACCATACACAGACAGACAGACAGACAGACACACACACACACACACACACACACGAGATTTTAAATAGAATAGAAAGTGATTTTGATCATACTTCATGGAACTATAAGGCTTCAATATGATAGCAAATTTAATACTTTTAAGGAGTATTTGGCATCTAGTGCTAGTCAACGGTAGTATCTCTTAGATTTAGGGGTAAAGTCACCCTAAGTTAGTTATGGCTTTGAATAAAATGCCCCGGCTTCAAGACTCATGTATCATGACACTATCTGGTTGGTCGACTGCTGTTCTGGCTCTCTGTACATTCTTAACTGTGTTTGGAAATACCTTATAATAACAACGCTCACTTAAGGATGGGTGGTGGCACATGCCTTTAATCTCTGACCCAGAAGGCAGTGACAAGCATATCTTTGTGAGTTTAAGGCTAGCCTGGTCTACAGAGTGGGTTCCAGGACAGCCAGAGCTACACGAAGAAACCCCATCTTGAAACAAAACAAACAAAAACAGTGGTCACTTAATTGAAAGCTGACAGGCTGTGTGTTACGCCCTCACCGGCTGGCCCTCATAACATCTCTTTCCTGTTCTCAGCTCCATCTTTCTGATGAGCAAACCCAGGCTTCTCAAGGCTCAGTGACAGGTGCAGTGGAGTACAAGATAGAACTGGGACTCAAGCCTCTGTCACTTCAAAGCTATTGGTCGTGCCTAGTTAACTTGTAGGGATTGCCTTACAGTCTAACAGGAAGATAGTCTAGTACTTTTATAGTTGTTTTTGAAGTTTAAAAAAAAGAATTTTAATAATTGTTGTATAGTAATAGATTCATCATTCCAGTCTAGTTGTTCCCCTAGTGGCATGCCAGAGGGAGACACAGCCATGCTGGCAGCATTCCTTGCTGCCTCCAGCAGTACTGGGTGTCCCTGGCTACAGTGGAGCCCATTTCAGCAAGGCAGCAGAGAGCATTGGTCCCTTTCACAGCCTGAGGCAGTGACACCTTGGTGGCTGGCAGGATTTTGTGCAGACTCCTTGCGCCACCAGGCACCACTTCTCCCTAGGGGGTGAAGAGCCAACATTTGAATGACAGGTGTGAGTGATCTGTCATCAAGGTCAGGCTTCTTGAGGACTTGATGGCCTGGAAGCAAAGGTCATGGCAGTGCAGTCAAGAGTCCCAAGGACCAGATGTTAAAGCTCTGTGCTGTTATACTCATCTTTCTGGCAGTGGGGACATTCTGGAAGGAACATGTGTTTCCAAGTTCATATCATGTGATAGAGTTCTTAAATTACTGCTATAACAGATGAATATATTGATCTATTTGGGCCTGAAGGGATCCCATGTTCCTTATACATTGACCTATTTTTGTAGGTCGGTCTGTCTGTCTGTCTGTCCTCACTTAGCGGTATCTTAATTCCTTCTCTTCTCAGGCCTTTTGACCTCAGTGGCTGTTAACTTCTGTGTCTTTCCCATACATACTTCCATGCAGAATGCAAATCTTCTTTTTATGAAACGCCTTTATTAGTGAGCATAAGCAGTCTCCTGTTTCTGAGTGCTGAGAGCTGTTACCTGTCTACCGCACACTCACGAGGGCCATACTGAGCTGGACACCCGGGAACTCCAAGGGGAAAAAGAGACAATATTCAGTTATCTGCAGAGTTGACAGTCTAACAGACTCATAACAGACCTCATCTGCACGAGACCTTCATCATTACCATAGTCCGATGTCCACATGCAGCTACTTTTACCACAGGGGACATCAGAGCTTCTGCTGTGGGGAGAGCTGGGAGGGCAAGGTAGTGGAAGATACCACAATTGCAAAGTGAACTTTCTACCCGGAGATATATGGCTCTTTATTTTCCCAGCGTCTGAGCGGTGGTGTGTTTTTTCTCTGCACTTAAACTTTAGGAAGTATGGGTCTCTCCTGTGTGAAAGGATTCCCTTCTGAAGCTCCACAGAGCTCGTCAGGCTGTGTGAATGCCTTAGCATGTGTGGAGGGTGCTCACCCAAGGGTTGTAGGATCTGAGTGTGGGAG